AAGCTTATTTTCATCCATAGAGTGGTTCTTACGCAAGACCTATAGTTTGTGCCTCACACATCGATCTCAAAAGCCTCGTTCCTACATTTGGATCGAGCTTCTGAGCAGTTTCTTTTCCTCACACGTGCGATGGTCAATCGCAAGGTCAATGGAGGTCTTCCTACGCAGAAACCTTCATTCTTCATGCATAACATGGATTCCTGTTCTCGGAGAGTGAATGGAATCTTCCTTATGCAAGTGAGAAATCACTTCATCTTCCTCGACGAACCAGCCCTACACAGGGGCCCTACATACTTTCTTCATTGGCTCATCGATAAGGGAACAATTAATTGCAATATGGAGTGATCGTAATCAGTCGAAGGCACCGTATACCCTATGAAAGTTTGTGCATAGAAGGCCTCGTAGAAGCTCTTGGATTCTGGAAGGTGCGCAAGCTTTCCTTCGAGCGCTTCAGGTGGGTGTCATTTTCGCCATTGGTTAATCTTAGGGATCAAGTCTATCGAGCTGATTAACTGGACGATAGAAGGAGAAGGAGCAGAGCCGAGTACAGTGGTGGAGTGGTTCCAGCTTACCAATATCCGGGCCCAGGTATGGGCGACGGCGGGTCCCTTCTTACCAAACAGGTGACCCACTAGCTCTCGGGAAAAGAGTAGATGAGGCTAACTTTGACCCTTCTAAAAAGGCTGTCCCTCGTGTTACATAATCTAACGAAAAAGAACTCCTAATGGCCTTTGGCAATCAAAATACACCGATGTCCGGCCTCAAAAAAAAGAATAGATAGGATGTGCATTTTCCTCTCGAATGGTATAAATCCCAAAGCTATACATTTAAAAGCGTACACGAAGAGACAGATTTTAAGCTTAAGGGGGTCGGTATTTGTCTCACTCACCCTTTGTGCTCGGAATTGAAGCAACACGCGTCACTCTGCGTGCTAAATCTAGAAACCTGCCTCAATGCAAAATGCTGCAAATCACTCTTTCAAGTGGATGTACAGGCCCACCACCCACCGAAACCGGTTCCAAAGGCATGTCGAATTCCCCATACTAAAGATGCACTTGGGAACAGACGTTTGAGATACAAGCATCGTCTGCTCATATATCTGCTGTTCTAGCCGGGAATGGCATTATGGCCTTACAAAAAAAAAAAGTTAGGTGTCAAGGTGGCTTTTTCTAGTCGGCAGGTGCAGGGATACTATCTATGTAGAAAAGTGAGGAACTACATGGAAGGCCTAAACTCCTGTCAGACCCTCATCGGACCTCCAATGAACATAGTGGAAACGAATCGCAGACGATCTTCAGTTATGTTCGAAGGCGCTATAGGAAAGGGGCGAAGCCTGTGGATTCCTTCTTGATTCTCTTCGTCATCTTGCCACTTTCATCATTAATATGCGCACTGAGAATAGTGCTCTTTTACATAATGAGAAACTGGCTCCTTATCCTTCCTTTCTCATTGTGACCCCATCAAACCATCATGATTCACTCCTGCCATGAAGAAAAGGGTTCGACAAAAGTGGGCAGCTCGGGATGGTTTTTTCTACTCACTTTTACTTTGTTCATGAGAAATTTATCCATTAAGTAGAGGAAGAAGTAAAGTTAGCTCTGACATTTTTCGGAATTTACTTTTCACCCGCGATTATACGAGGTATACGTTTCCGATGTAAGGGCATTGCATGATTCCAATCGCACGAGGATGAGAGACCCGGAATTTCGTTGAAATAAAGTTTGAACGGTTCATGTTTTCGTGATGCGATCGTGCTAGCAAGAATTCTCAAGAGAATCGCTAACCCAACCCAGGCAATGTTTACATGGATCTCTCATCCGTTTCAAGAGGTATGTAGTAGCGGAGAGGTAGTACGGACTCAAATCTACTGTCTTCGTCCAACTTACTCCTTCTCATAATGGTCTAACGTAGACTCTGCCTTCCCACCGTTCAAATAGGATTTCAAGATATCGAATCGAGCAAAAGTCAGACATTATGTATCATTACATGCGAAACGTTTTTGCACCGTGAGCGTACCTAGTTGTTCGGTCGGTGAGAGAGACTGCAGTGGAAAAATGAGAATCACGTAAAAAAATAACGAAATCGCCCATTCGATGAGAACTGGCAAAAGAATAATTGCTGTTGCGCTTAAATGGATTCTCATAGCTGCTGGCTCACAGTTAATCTATTGTATGCCTCAGTCTCGGTAACATGGACTGGAATCTTGGAATCGTGAGCACTTAGGCAGAACGTAAAAAAGACTTAAGTGGCTCGAGGATCTATTCAGTTTAGTCCAGACCAGCCTTTCCTCAAACATTCCAGAAGGATGGAGATTGTGGGCATACAAAGAGTAAAGGCTCATGGCAGGCTTACCAAACTGGTTTAAAGTCATCGTTATGTCGTCCTGCTGTTCCCCAGGCAAGAGGCGAGCGTTGACTCCAGTTCCCCTCTCTTTTGCAAAAAGAAGTAGCCATTAGAGTAATTTTCCTCTCTTACCACTCATCAGAGCAAGAAGGGAAGGGGGGAACTGGAATTACTGCTCGTCTTTTTCTATGAGTGTTGACTAAGTGAGGAATATATGCATGCCGATTGAAAGAACTTTGAGCATTTTAACCCCTCAGGCTGGTTTGCCGTACTCCGTACGCGCGATGTTTTCATTACCACAGGCGGTTAGCAATATAAACACCGGCTTGAGGAGCTAAATCAAGATGAAATGCATTTAGTATGTTGCATTTTAAACACTACTCTCAAAAAGTAATGAAATGGCTTTATGGCCCAAGCATTTACTGCACTAATTTAGTTTATTTTGACAAATATAGGGTGGTTTAAAAAAAAACTCCCTACCGTTTTCTATGGGAGAAAATAAAATTTGGATATTCAAGCAAAAATAATACGATATTGGACTCTTGATATTGGACACATACAAAGTGTTGAGATTATTGTTTTTTTTTTTTCAGAAAAATTCTCTGAGCCATGCATTGTCCCGTTACTGAGTAACAAACATGACCAAACAAAGTTGGATGATTACAAGTCACCATCCAATCTTCTTTGACCATATCTTTTGAAAGGGCTTCCAGATGCAACTGAAATTTCGCACAGAGGCTCATGGGCCTTTAAGTTTTTTTTTTTCCTACCTAAAAAGTGGCGTTGAATGTTGATAGTGGGCGCTGCGGTCGACTACATTGCCCTCTATCGGCATGCTGCGCCATCTTGCGGTATATGAAAAATTGCTTAGACTCATGAACCTCTCTGTCAAGTATCAGCTGCATCCAACAATCCCTTGAAAAGTTATGGTCAATCAAAATAGGGTGGTGACTTTATACTAACCGTGTAGGTAGGAAGTTAGCATCTATGGGTTGGGGGCCATGTTACCCCATTCTTGACCACATTGAAGCTCACTTTTTTCGGTCTCCGCTTGAAGTTCAGACCTACCTTTTTGTCCGTTGGCTATTCTCAAAATAATCCGACCGTTTGCCAAATTTAATTGAATTCTGAGATGGCCGGGCACAAATCATAACCTCACATAAGATGGAACGATCCACCTTTAAGCAGTGCATATGGGCATTGCACGACGTAGGCATGGGTGTTGAAAAAAAAAAACTGACATGCATCTCAACACCCTGTAACCGTCTAATGTCGATTGCGTAGCCAATTTTGATTTTTTTGCATTTATTAAGCTGTGTTTCTCTCATAGAAAACGGAAAGGCCTTTTTTTTTTAAATCCCCCAATATATTGTTCTAAACTGTTCCTGAGAATGAATACTATTTCTGACGTCACTTCCTCCTCGTCCGAAGCTCCCCGCATGCGATAACGTGAGGTAAAAAATGTCACTATGAGATGGACATTGAAACCAGAATAGAGGGTATCAGCTGCACGTTGAGATGACGATCTGGGCCAAACGGTCGGGAGCATATCTTTGAAGCCGGATCTAACGTGCAGAGAAGAGATTCATGTCTCCGATTAGTGTCTGCCTGTAAAGATGAACATGTTCATGAATGTCGGCCCTGGCAGACTTTTCTGCCTTCTCTCTCATAAAAAATTCACCGTTTGCAGTACGGGCATAGAGACGTGCCTTTTTCTCGCGTGGGAGTATCTCCGGTTTGGTTTCAATTCCTGTAACACTTTTCTTTTGCCCTCGACTCCCGTATTCGAGTCTGGAGTCGTATATTCTTTGGGAAAATGGAATGAATAGAGTGACTTCCATGCAGAGTTTATTCTGGTGAAAATCGAGGGTCTCCATCTGGCCTATTCCGGTTCGCGATAAGAAAGGAGATGGCGATAACGTAGGGGATCCGGATATTAACACCGATCCCGTATCGTTCCTCCTTTATTCATGGATTCCTTCTTTCGCGATTCAGATACAGGGTGGAGATGAAGTGGATCTGGTTTCCTTCCAACGATCGAGATAAAGAAAAGCAGAGGGAACACGTGTTTTCTGTGCTGCACGAAGAAAACAAAGTGATGAGATGCAGAAGCCATCCTTTTCTATAACAGAGAATCCATCTCATTCTCCATTGCTTCTTCTCTGATAAACGCCCATCCTTCAAATCCTTTGTATATGAACAATTGATGCGAAACGTTAAAAGGGCTTTAGGCCTATAGAAAGGAAGTTTTCACAAACGAGAGGGGTCGTGGGGTGCAGAATGCATCTTACTTGAATACCTCACATGAGGTATCAGACGAGGGAAAAGGGACCCGTAAATCCCATTTCTTCATAATTTTATTTTCGTACTTTGAAAAATGTTCCCTTCAGTCTCGTGTGCATTCTGCAAACTTCTGATTCATGAACTTATTTACAGGTTTGCCTGGAACCAGGGAAATTAGCTCCTTGTGATTTAAGCAGCAACTTTCAAGAATTGTACCAAGACACGATCGACGAACGTAGCCCCAAAAATGACTTCCATGTAATGTAGATGTTCGTTTGGTGGGAGATACGTTAGGATTTCTTTTACCTCTTTCTTCGTTTCCTTGGATCCAGGACTGAATGATATGTTGATATGCTCTCTCTATTCTTGTTCGAATGACAGTAGTGGAGGGCATACTGGAGCCAGAGTTTGATTTGGATTTCCCAGTGAAGAATCAAACCGTCGTGAAGGGACGAGATGCCAAGTTCACCTGTGTCGTCAACCAACTAGGGGGATTTCGGGTGAGGAACGCTCTCTTTTGTCCCGTGAAAAAAAAATCCATAATAAACCGGAACGAAGAAGAAGGAAAAGCCGGGAATCAGATTATCCTGATTGGATGGGAGATTCGAAATGATTGCGACGACGTGTGTTCCCAATCTTCATGGATTTTCTACCAATAATCCAATTCATCCCTTCCAGGCACCGTAATTGAAAAACTAGTTTTTATGTTCTCCATGGAGTGCACGATGCAGCTCCTTGGAAAGATTGCTCAGATGAGATGCTTCCGGCAATATTGTCAGGCACCTCAGCACCGGATGGTTAGAACCGCAAACTAGAATTGCATTTTCCAAAGCAAATGTCCGCCCTTATAACTCGCATTCGCGGAATTCAAGAATTCCAAAATCCGGATGGGACCTTTTCCCCCCAAATTCTCCAGGTTCACGAGGGACAATGCCCAGAATCAAAGGAAATCGCAACCCAATGATTCCTCAGCAAAATATTTTGTTTTATGAAAGGCCTCGTCGAATCCAAAATTTTTATTTGCCAGCACAATTTCAATTGGATGTAGAACATAGCTGAAGGAGGGAGAAAAAGTCAAGTTTAAAAACATTTTGATAGAATATTTTATGATCAAGAAAACATGTGAAATCCTAAACGAAGACTAAAATAGAGCAGAAACTATTGAACCAATAGCGACATTTAGTTTATGGCTGAACTAATCTCGCTCATGGAATGTATTTTCTGTGGAACCACTTAAGAACTGAAAAATTATCAGCGAAAATACTGAAAGGTACTTATCAAGAGCATACGGACCGGCACGGACCAAAAAGTGGTCAATTGGATTCCTAAAAATGAGGTGACTTTTTGAATGACATTGGGAATACGAATTTTCAGGTGGCATGGATCCGATCGGACAACAAGGCAATTCAGGCGATTCACAATCACGTGATCACGCACAATTCCCGGATCTCGGTGTCGCACGAAGGAAGCAAAGTATGGCATCTCCACATCCACGACGTCCAGGAAATAGACCGAGGTCCCTACATGTGCCAGATCAATACCGACCCCATGAAGAGCATGGTAAGTCTTCGTTGGAATAAGTATCCTATGACCTCGAGCTACCACATAATTTGCTCTTGTGACGTGATTCATAAAGGTGGGATATTTGAACGTACACATCCCGCCGGACATCCTTTCATCTGGGAGTTCCGGTGACGTCACCGCAGTGGAGGGATCAGACGTACATTTAAAGTGTAAGGCCAGAGGCTATCCCCACCCCGTTGTCAGGTGGAGGAGAGAGGATGAACGCCCCCTCCTCGTCAGGGATCGCTTCGGGGGCAGAACGAAGGGTAACAGGGCCATTCTTTTTCATCTGTCTTCTATCGAATGCTTTAGCCTCACTTCTCACCTCTGACGAAAGTATCAGAGTACGAGGGAGATGTGCTGCAACTGCACAAGGTGAGTCGAGGGGATATGGGAGCTTATCTCTGCATAGCAAGCAATGGGGTCCTTCCAACTATTTCCAAGAGAGTCATGCTTCACATCCACTGTGAGTCCCACCTCTCAGAGTCTCCTGCACTACTTTCATACCATACGTGAATCTTTCTTTTTCTAGCATCGATCTCATTTTATGGAGTATGTTCTGTCCCTAAGAGACAGGAAATGTCTACTTCTGGACTCTGATAACCAGATATATATTACAATCAAACTACTCGATTATTTTAATGCAATTTCCATAGTTCAGCGGTTTTTCGATTAACGCTTTCATAGATGCACGAAACTCGCAATTATACAATGCCGTATAATCAAACAAGACGAAATATTCAAACATTTCCGTTCATCGTTCGGTTTGAATACCCTTGTTCAGAAAGAGTTATTTTGGCATACGTCCGATCCCATTTCTCTTCGAGGGCAGACTTCGTATAAACTTACCTTTTTTTTAAATCCGTCGCGGGTTTCCTCGACCTTAACTTTCTTACTAGACGGAGCTCTGTCCAGCAAGGAACAATTATCGAGTGTTGGATATCCAATGATCATGAAGGAGATTCATGAGGTACGTCTCAGACATCTACCAGTTTCATTTGTCAACTTCTGTTTGACGCAGGAAAATTCATTGCAACGTTGGTTCAAACATCATCCATAAATAAAGAACAGTCAAGAAAAATTTCCTTCTATTGAAGCAACTAGATCCCGAAGTTAAAACGAACTTTCGTTTCCTTAAACCACTTCTGCAAGCACCCTACATAACGGCGGCAAATAATCCTGGATATAAAGCTCTTCCGATTTTTTCGTGCGATATGAAATATGTCCTTGTACTAATAGCTTTTTTCATTAAAAAATTACCATCTTGGGTCTTACCGGAAATTTTAGATCATGAAGACATGCAATTGATTCTTTCATATGAATGAGGATGACAATACCATGATTTTCCATATCGTGGAGGTAGTATCAGAATGGCGCAATCGTGTACGCGTTTTAAAAATGACCATACCTCGTATAGTTCGTATGTCCATGGCAAATAGGGTGGACGTTGAGAGTCGAGAATATGCCGTCCTTGCTTCCTCTTGTAGTTCCACCAGTGATGGAAGTGCCGAATCAGCTGGTGGGAGCTCCATTGGGATCAACAGTTTCCCTGGAATGCATCGTACTCGCTTCCCCTCGTGCCCTCCATTACTGGACACGGGACCAAGGTATCGTTTTCCCTTCACCTTCGAGTTCGTATCGAGAAACCTCTCTCCATACGGAGCGATATTACCCCTCCATTGCTCGAAGGGGGAACACAGCCCGTTGACACTCGACATGCCTTGGCTCTCACTGCCATTGCTTTGCTTTCCATCTATCCTCTGACGCTGGATCCGTTCTTCTCCGGCACGGCATAAAAACTAACACCTCTAGTCAAGGCTGAATCTTGGATTATTTTATCCCATGTAACCTCGAAACAAAAACTTTCACTGCGTAACTCCGTAAATGAAGTTGGATGCTATACCCAAAAGGCATTACTGCAATTTCTTAGTTGGCTATCAAGATCGTGATGCAGCCGCAAGATCCGCGATCAAATCCATAGGGTGGAATACCGTTTGATGAGAAAAGGCTGGAAATTTGATATTCATGATATGAAAATCCGCGAACCCTGAACTGAATGAGATTCATAATCGATGCACCACCTGCTTCCCTTATGAAACAGACATGAGATTAGTCTAATTCGATTCATTGAAGACGTGAGAGCTTCTGCCCGCTTCCCATCAAACTCCCTCTCATTTCTCGTTTGCTCCTGTATCTCTCCTTCTTTCCTTCCTTCCTTTCTCTCTGAAAAGTCGCCTTAAAAGAAATACACCCTAGTTCCTTATTGTATTAGAGAAGCGAAGCACAGTCTGATGTACGAGATAAGATGTACTAATATCTTGTATTTATCAAATATATAAGGTATGAAGTACCATGAAACCCATTTTTCAAAGGCTTTCTCTTTCTTCAAACCCCCCCTCCCTCCCTTCATAGAGTCATAGAGACTCCCAAATGTTAGTCCTAGGTCTAACCGACGGATAGATCACTGCAAGGCCGACCTTTTTTCCTTGAAAAGAAAATCAATTCTCGACTTACTCATGCACTTAGGCCTATTAGGATCATATCGTAGTCTTCGAGACAACTCTATGAGGACATGTAACGGTAGGCCGATCGCAGGCCTATTCATAATTTCGCGAACCAATTCAGAGGACGTATGACATTAGACCGATTATAACCCTGTTTCGAGTTTCACGAACCATTTCAGTGCGGACGTGGAATGTTATCCTCGAACCATCTCGCGCCATTCAGTAAATTCAGGGATGTCCGAATAAGGAATCTCCATGTCCCACCACATCGATCGGCCACTGCTGACCGTTTCATTCTCGGCTCATCCCATAAAATTAACACAAAAATGTCCCATGCATTAAAAATCAAAAGATCCAGAGAAGATAAGAAGGCCGAAGCAGTCATGAATCTGGCATGACTTCGGCACGATATCCAGCAACACTGGGGGACGGGATCGGAGTCAGCACTCAAAGCCTAAATGAACGACAGCAAATTTAATTTTTTTAAATGGCGAAATGGTGCATCGCAAACAACCAAATGGACACTTTTCGTCATCTACAAGTCAACATCTTCCTTATGATTGGTCTCTTTCCCCCGAAAACCCACTAGGAGTGACTACCCTGGTGGGTTGGGAAAAGGAATGAAATTCAGATAAAAAAAGCCAGTTCAATGCTCTCCACAACCCCGGGGATATGGAACTTCAAATTTGCTGGAGCGTTTCTGTGTTGAGAGAGAAGAAGAAACATCCCCAATTTCGTTCCTGTTGATGCTCTCAGAGATGAATATGAGGAGGTTGAATTTTGTTACGGGAAGGGATTGAAGAATAGGGAATAGGAAGATAGGCGCTGCCAAAGCCTATTGATCTACGAATTTGGTCAAGATACCATTTCGCCTCAATAGCGAACAGGATTAGAACCCGAGAAAAATTGTTGACTTCATTATGGAAACTCTAAGGTTACGTTCTAAAGGGCTGATCACACCGCATTTACGCTTATGTGTGATGTTGACTATCGGCAATATTACGTGCATCCTATTCAAATAGATGCATTTTTGCCATCAGACAATTATATCGCAGATATATAGAAGGGGAACACTAGCGACATGCTCGGTAATGTGTGCCTTAAACGTTTGAAGTGCACGAGGTTTACTTGCGTTCGTCTCTGCTTCTGAGTTCCTCACATGAAAAACATGTGTTGAGAAGAGAGATTAAGGGATCATTGAGTCGGGTCTCCTCAACACCCTAGGTAAAACAGAGAACCGCCGAGCCGAGATTCAATCCTGCTGGAAGATGATAGATCCTTTCAGGTATCTGTTTTGAGCTTGGAAAATATTTGACATTTGTAGTTAGACCTAGTTGACCCCGGTCTCCGCACGTCAAAAAAGTACTGTCTAATGCATGGGTGTGAAACATGCGGCCCACGGAGGTGGTTCATCCGTCCGCAGCCTGTTCTTGTCATTTCCGCCCGTAATGGCTCTCAACATCCTCCGCTCGCGTGCCTAACCTCGAAGAAGAGTTGAAGGGCACACTCACCTCTGACCCCTCACCCCTCTCACCATTTTCAATTAGACGATGACGTCCCCTGGTTGACATTGGCCAGGGGTCAATATTTGAATATTCGTAGTTCACCATTCGAATGGAGGGGGATTGTAGACAACCCGCAGCAGGCACGGAGGCGCAGCCGCCTTCATTCGCGCTCCTGTCTCCGAGCAACGGCAGAGTGCGGTGGCGGCGATAGCGTTCGGATGAACCACGAAGACAGGCGTCCGATCTCGAACGCAATGGTGTAGCCAGGATTTCGCCTATTGGGAGGACTAGAATTTTCCTTACTTCTCCTCGCCGCGGGGGGGGGGGGGGGGGGGGGGGGGGGGCGTGATGGGTGACGGGGGGGGGGCNGGGGGGGGGGGGGGGTGGGTGGCGGATGCATGATGGATGACGGTGGTGGACCAGAGTTTGGGGGGGCTTGAACCAAACTTGGGGGGCTGAAGCCCCATTCCCCCCCTTGCTACGCCACTTGCTCGAGCGACAGAGCTGTCGCCAACGCAACTGCAGTGCTGCTGCTGCTCTTGCGGTTGCGTGTGAGTCGATGCATGCACGAGGGTTTTATGAGTAACGTCTGGACGTCTGTTTCTGACGAATTTGTATGCATCCACAGATCTAAAAGCGGATACATACTGACAACTGACATTGATGGGCAAAACTTATATTTTGGGTGTCCTAAAGTTAGAAGGGTGAAAATTGAGTGAATAACAAACTTCCGTGAAAAATTATGGGTGCGACCCGCAGGCATCTGCAGGAAAGGAATTGATTTGACCAACCAATTTGAGTTTGACACCCCTGGTCTAATGGATTAAATGATAGCTATGGACTACAGAATCACCGCTGGGGAATCTCTTTCATGCTGCCGAGTTTCGCCAGGATTTTCATAAGCTCAGATTTTGCATTTTTGTCGACTTAAGAAAACTCGCATAATCGGTGTGGTCCCAGGTCGTAAAGGAAAGATGCGCTACCCTGGCTCAATAAAAAAAATGCCTCACATACACTCCAGTCAGGATCATCCTACGTTAGTGCACCAGATATTTCAATCTTATAGCTCCTCATCTTCAAGGAAATCCTCAGAATCCTGTAGACTTTTCAGTTTTGAATACCGTTTTTTTTTTTCCCACCCTGATCAAGTGACTTTTTTGGGCTTCCGTAGTGCTACTCCTTTTCTTCCATCAATGTTTAAAGCACTTCCAAGCCTGTCCGTACCTGAGCCAATCTCAATAAACGTAGGAGACCGAAACGCTATCGTAAAAGCAACCACCCAAATGTGTTCTGTAAGCGTCTGCATGCAATTCGGTCAAATTTATAAACGATCGATTTCGACCCCTGCCTTTGCCGTAATCAAAGAAGTACCGCACTAGGAGTTGCCCGCAGACATGTCGAGTCTTACGCCTCGTGCTTGAGTCACGCGCTTCGGACATAGTCTCACTTTAGAGGGGATTACATGCAGAGTATATACGGACAATGCACAAGACGCAGTCACACACGTTCCGGTTGAGGGACAGTGAATCTTTAACCCTTTGGCGTCGGGGGAGGTGGCGCTTAACCATCCCCACAGGCGGCTAAATTGACCCCCCCCCCCCCCAGGATTTACAAAATAGTTATTGGAATTAATGGCATATAGAAATGTGCAAGAAGTGCCAGAAACCTCCAGATAAAATTTTTGGGAAAGCCCTTATACGCGACGAATTTAATCAAACTCGCGTAAATATATGTCAACCGCGCTAAAAGGCTGACGTGTAAATGCGTCAACCGACGCTTAAGGGTTAATCGTCCGCATAGTAGGGATGTGGAAGAAACCGGCACACCCCAGGGCCCGAATCACATTAGTCATCATCACATGAGCCACATCGTCAGTCATGGCTGTATTTTACGATTTCAAAATTGAAATTCTGAACCATGACATCATTGGAGCCTGCTCCATGCAAAATAAATCTGTGTCCCTCTTTTGGTACTCACAAATGCAGTATGCCATCGAAAAAGTAGGGATTAAGCTATCTTGCATATTCGATCAAATTCTTCTGGTTCAACTGAGAGATAGTTCACATGGTGCTTAAGAGGCATCTTTTAGCTATAAGCTATACGGCGCATTTATTTAAATTTTCTTTTAATGATTAGTACAGCTGATTAAATATCCATCTTTAGTATCACGGGAAAGTAAATTTCATGATGTTTTGAACTAGTCCATATTGGAGTACCAGATTTGCGGAGCATGGGCCTCTTCAACGTCAAGTCAAACATGCTCCTGTCTCTCTACTTCTCACAACCTCCGTTGCCAATGGGGATCCTCTGTCAATTTTCACACCATCTAGATGGATTTCTCCCGTTGCAGCTGCTTGCGAATGGAAGCCTTAAGGGAATGGTTTACGAGGGAAGCCCGCCCGCAAGGCATATTTCAAGAAGAAATCAGAGCTGCACAAATAAGTACCGTATAACCCCTCTGTAATAGATTGGTACGGCGCTAAGCGCCCGGTCACCCCCCCCCCCCATCCCACAAATTCTGAGAATAAAAACTAGTTTTAGCACCATTTTAAAGTCAATATTTTGTTTAAAAATATAATTCTTGCCCAGTTTTGAACAGCACAAAATATTTTAGAACTGCACATGCTGTTATATACAATATGGTGTTCGTCTGCTCAACAATATTGCCAATGAAATGAGGCAGGTCTCAATATTGCCTAGGAGTTGAATTCATGCTAAGCTCCAGTTGAGTGCTCAGTACCATGTAAATGCTGCGTCGGCGCGATCTTAGTACATAAGCATCACTCT